GGTCCTTTTAGTCGTGGAGGGGTTATATAATCACTCGACTTTTGATTGAAGGGGAATGGGTGGAGGGGGAAAAATCAGCTGACTGAGATGAGATGCTAATTGTTTGTGTGAAGGGAGGATAATCATTTCATCGAGACGGGGTATCGGTATGCAATCTATATTTCCTTTCTTTTTGTTTACCTTGCATTGCCTTGACGTTGCATTCATCTCAACTTATTTAGCTCTCTGAGTAAGGCGTGGTGGAAGGGTGCCACGTGGGTGCTTCAAGCTAGAGGAACTTGTAAAGAACTATTGCTAATGTTCGACTTTTTTTGATGATAGAGCGGCATCTAATTCTCTTCGAGAGTGTTTTGCAAGTTGGGGATATCTCCACAATGAGACTAGTAAGAATAGACTGACCCCAATGCTACAACACCCTCACCGTGCATGGATGATGTATAATGTTCGAGATACTGAAGCTAAACAAAGCACGTAGTTAATATTTGGTCTCATTTAATTGGGGCAGCGTTGTTCGTGGCTCTACCGGTCTACCTGTACAAGGCTGAGATACCACCTAGATATGCCGTGGCTACCAAGGAAGATATCGTGGTTTGTGGGATGTACTTCTTAGGGGTGGCGATATGCTTTTGCTTGTCGGCGTTGTTAGTTGATAATCTTTGTCCTCTAAGCACGAGGAGGCTTTGTAACTGATGTCATCCGCAGGTACCATACCGTAATGAACCATAGCCAACAAATGGACACATTTGGAGCTCAGCTGGATTTCCAGGGAGTGATTCTTCTGATGTGGGGAGCAACTATTCCTCTTGTATACTATGGTTTCTATTGCGATACCGCAATTCATAGATACTCTTATTGGGCTCTGGTGATTAACCTTCCTGTCTGTTGCTGTGGAGAAAGCTAACTAGAGGAAGTTATCACTGCTAGCAGTCGCTTGCTCAGTATCTACCTTTCAACCTCATTTTCGAGATCCATTTCTTCGACCTGTACGAGCCGCCACCTTTGGCAGCTTAGCTGTGGTCACAATGGTGCCTGTCGTCCATGGTGCGACTGTATACGGCTGGCAAGTACAAAATCAACGGATGGGAATCACCTGGGTTTTGATCACGCTGATGTTGAATGTACTTGGTGCAACAGCATATGCCATCAAGGTAAGAAAGCGAACAAAAGTCTTTGAAGAGATTACTGTTCCCTGCAAAATAAGTTCTGACCGAAACAGTTTCCCGAACGTTGGTTCAGCAAAACGTTTGATCTTTTTGGAGCTTCTCATCAACTCTTCCACATGATGGTGGTACTTGCAGCTCTCGTGTACAGCAAAGCCATTTTACAAGCATTCGACTTTGCCCATGCATACGACCACACATGCAACCGATGAACGTACATACATACCGCTTTCTTCGGATACCGCCAGAACCAATCTCGCCATGGGCATGTTCATCTCTCTTCACCGTTCATAGCGCTTTCAAGGATTGTATGCCGGGCCAGACTTCCACCCACAATCTCTTACATACTTCAAGAAGTCTCGTGATTTTGACGGCCCATGGCAATCTAACGGTACATCCGGAAATGGAAATAAACATCATAGCGTACGTCGCAAACGAGCCTGAAGATTATTGAAAAGGCGAAATAAAAGGTATTGGCACCTTTCAATCTTTGGTTTCGATTCGAAGACGAAGAAAGCGAGACACGTGTACAAAAAAGGCTCACCTACTTTCATATCAACACCCACGCTTGTGGAGAATGACAAGTATTGTATATAATATAGAGTGCATAATTACTATCCATAATACATTGCTAGCAAATCTATCGTAGACCGCATAAACTTTTCCATCTGTCAAACGGGGGATAGCTTCTTCATGCATATGCCTCAACCTTGGTGTACCAGAGTTTGATCTTCAAGACGGCATAAACTTCCGCAGCAAATCATAACAGCGGATGTGATATTACTATTTCCCCACCTGCTTTCTCTGCGGCATCAACCGCGAATCGTCCGGTTCATGCGATGCTTTGACAGCTCTGGCAATAATATAGAAAATAAAAAACTGGATATGGAAGATTGGAAATGATGATGGAGATTGGGAAAGGACAAGGTCATGGATGCCGTAATTGAAATTGTTCTGCGGCTTCATGAAACGTTCTCGAAGGCCCGTCAACAAGGTTGGCGGATATCCAATCCCTCAAGAGACAAGAGGATGTTATTCCTCGGAGAACATGCTACGCTTTCGGGATGAATGTCCGTGGCTGCATACAAAAGTGGAACGAGCATTTTTATTAATTGTGTATATCTGAGCTTCCTGAAGGTTTGTTGTGTGTGGATGGAGGATGGGTGGCATTAGGTGGATGCTATGCCACTGGATGGTTATCTCTCTTACGAACATCCGACGTTTTGTTCTGCTTCAGAGACAAGAGGGAGATCAATCATCTTCCTGGAAGCAGGTGCAGGGTATGATATGGAACCCGCAATTGAGAGTAAGGGTATCTGATTTGGCAGCGGACGGGGCCCCCATTTATTTTAAATACCGGAAGGTCAGTAGTGTACCAGAACTTCGACACAAATGGACATGGTTTGTGAAGTATTGGGATGAAACTTATCTCGCTATCATCGCTCAAAGTATCACTAGAACGTCTGCACCCCTCACAATCGATTTTCCAAAACCTTCTTTCCAAGGGCTTACGGCATCGCCTACGGGTCCAAGTGACTAATTGGTAGGAACTGCCGACACTGGCATCTTAATGTAGTACACGCTCATTTCGGCCTCAGATCGACGTCTCGAACTGTTGCGGAGTGATCCTCGAGCAATTTGTTCTTGAATAGCTTCGTTCTTGATATTTGTAAACCCACCTGGTTGAATGAAAGTTTGTTATATGCCAGTAGATCATACTAATGAGACATGTACTGCGTATATCCCTTCACGAAGGGTCCTCTTGTATTGGACCCTTCTTTTGGTCTCACTATTAGAATAGGCCATGGACTAAGAGAGTTGTTATCGATAGTTTAAGCTTTTTGCCGCCGCTCAGGCTGTAGAATAGAATACAGTAAGACATATCAGTGGCAAACACATTGGGAGATGCTATTGTGCTATTGTGCCATTGTGCTATTGTCATGGAAGAGTTTGTGTCAGCAAATTGACTTTCTCCAACTGGTTTGAAACCCGTTCTTCCTTCTATCCGAGCAGCGCCGCTCGCCTGCAGTCAAAAGTTCGGGTTTAACGGTGAGCCTCGATGCATAATCTACAACCCTCGAGGGTAGAGACGAAAAATCCGGGGTTTTCGAGCCAGTTCCAGTCCTTCCTCGGCCATTCTTTCCTGCCATGATCAGAATAATAGTGCCGTATCGGTGTACTCGAGAATTCTCTGAACGATGAAAGATCTCGAGGACCACGGTGCCCTCGGAATGCAACTCTAGCCCGTAAACAAGAGTTTGCGAAGCTTCGAATCATTCGTGATCGAGAAAGTATATCGTAAACTATAATACAATACGCTAGACGCATACACCTGAAGGGCAACTGGATTGTCAAATCTAACTTTCAATATTGAGTCGTGCTATGAGATCAGGCCTAGGTAGATATGCGTACATTTCGCATTTCGATTCACTTCGTCACGCGTTATTCCGACCCAGAATAGTATTATTTTCAGACCTGCATAGATCTACAAGAAGATGTCATAGACTCATAGGGTACTGTACCTTCCATCACTTTTGGGTACCTCGTAGATCACCAAGACTAAAATCAAGCAGAATTTTAGTGAGGAAGAGGGTTCCGCAGCTTTGTAGAATTTCGTGCTATAGCGGTAGTTTGTAGATGAGTTAGTCTCTCGACCGATTTTGCCTGGTTCCTACAATTCCATTTTGATGACAAAAAGTCGCGCCAGCAAGCACAATCTCTGGTAAAGTAGAGTCGTAGTGTTATTCATTTCCAGGTCCCATCCCGCTGGGACATCTGACAACCGTCTTTCTCTGCGTGGAGCCATCGGTTGATATGTAACCTGACTCGAATGGCAAGGAAGGACACTCCACATAAATCGATGGTATTGTGATCTTTGACCTACCTTCTTCCAATAGTGAAGCTTGTCAAGGTCAAGATTGAATGGACGAGGGCATTAGGAATACCAAACCCGCGAGCCGTGAGTGGGTCATTGTAGATTCGAGATTGAAAATCATTTGAATTGAACCCAAAATATGGCCAGCCCGATAGCCTCGCCAGCGAGCGGCCAAGCTAGGGTTTGGGGCTCTAGGAATGAACCCCCGCTGACTAGCCCGACTGGCGTGATATACGGAGTAGTAGTACGCTCCATATCATTGGCATTACCCACGGGAACAAGCGAAGGGACCTTCAGATGACACCGGTAAATAGAAATCATAAATGGGATGGACAGAAAAATCGGGACAAAACTTAGATTCCTATGAAGTAAGGACTCGGACTGGACTGGGACTGGGAATTGGTCTTGGACTTGGACTTATGATTGTTCAAGATTGACAGGTTTATGTTGTTCCTGCTTTTTGGATGCAAGAATAGGTAAGTAAAGTCAATCAATCAGCAAGCAAGTAAGTAATAAGTACAGTAAGTATGTATTCATACATGCATATGCAACATTGGCTGAGGTCGAGGTCAAGGTCGAGGTCAAGGTCGAGGTCAAGGTACCTGCAACCTGCTTTGCTTTCATCTTCCATCTTTCATCATATTGTCAAGCATTCTCTCTGTTCCTGCTTTGTTCCTGCGTCGGTTCCTGCAGTAGCAATCAGCAAATTTGGAAATGGGGTGGGTGGACCACACGTAACGAAGCCATTCATTGCCCGATTGGTGAATCATAATTTTAATGGGTAAAGTGATGGATATATACGGAGTCCATAGAGAAGGTACCATTCTGACCGACCGATAAGAAAACGGATTGGATTGCAACGGAAAGCCGTCAGAATGGATCATCCACTCAGAATCCCTACCTTCTTTTTTCCCCTTCCCTTTCCCTTTCCCTTTCCAGTTCTTAACTTTCCTTTCACCGCGACCATGACCGTGAACTTGCCGGGTCGAGGACTAGGACAGGCCTCCCTAGTAGGGTTCATATCGCAACTTCTTCTGGAAGTTCACCGAAGAAGGTTTGGTCTGGCTTTACGATGCAGAGAAATGATTCTATGGATTCGATTCTACGGATTCAACCTAGGGAGGGAGGGTATGGTATGGTCAGGAACGGTATGGTATGGTCAGGTACGGATGGGATGGTATGATGGTATGATGGTATGGCTCTCGATGGTATCAAAATCCATGTCAGCCAATTCATTACGGATTGGATTCGATACAAAGTAATAATGAAATGCTACCCCATTATGCAGGCCTCGGTCAAATCAGTCGACTCCACCACATTCAAGTTATACTTTGTTGCACCAGCCTCTTTACCCTTGCTATGCCTGACGGTTGATTATATTTGACAAAAAGCAGCAAGGGAATCCAAACCAAACAAGAAAATCATTCTCTCTCCGCTCCCCCGGAAGCGTCCAATGATATGAGAAAGGCTCTCTCTATGTTTAGATCGGCTACACACAAACTTGCATTAGAATATCACTGCAGAGTGCCACTTTTATGCAACATGCAATATGCCAGTAGGAAGTGGTGATGTGATGATGATTGTCGCGCAACCACCACTAATGAAATCCTATGCACCTTCTGCACATCGTTATTCGCTCTCGTTGGGAAATGTCATTCAGGAACCAAAAGAAGCAGCCAGCACAAGACCTAAATGTTTGGTTCGTGTAATGAACTAGAAGCATCAGCGTCCATACCACACCAGCTGGATGTTACCATATTGGATGTGATAGGGTAGGCATCCCACCAAGTATGCCTCAGCATTCCACATTGAAGCCTCGAACCTCGTGTGTCGCTTTATTGTGATATTAAGAATCATCATCGACAGGCTGTGGGAATTGGGCGAAACGCTGTGCATTATTGGAAAAGTATGTGCATGCCATTTTATGCAACCATCTTACTTCTTCTCGGCGCTAGGTGGACGGGACTCCATCCTATCGTTATGGTTATCACCTTATCGATTAGACGTAGAAGAGTGGGCGTGAAGGAGCTCCGGGTCATATGAGGTCAGATTTTACACATACAGAATCTTCAAATGATGATGTTTTGCCATGTTTGGAGGGATTTAGACTCTTAGTGGTCAAGAGGACGTGTGTGGAATCAAGGTTCAACCCGATGGAAACGATAGCCCAATACGCGGCCTAATCGTTCGTGTGATAGTACATGATAAACTTTAGATCATCTCAAACGCCGGCGTCTAAGGAATAAGGGCTCCGTCTCAACCATCTATCTGACTTTTCTCAGGCGTGTTCACATGAAAGACAGTGTTTCAATTGCCAGTTCCAGACTGCGGCTACAAACTTTCTTTTGGTGGGATGTTGGTGGTACAAAACTTGCTTGCAGAGTGTATCAGTACCACTGAGTAAGCCGCAACTCTAAAAATCTCTGAATAATGACTTGTCAGCGTAATAAACTGACGAAGTCGGATCTAATCAAATGTCTCGCGGGAGGCGGGGAGACTATCTGATCTTATCCTGTTCATCGAAAGTAGAGAGCAGGAGATCGTTGTTTCATCTTTTCATGATGGCGTCTTTCTTCTCCCCCACAAATCAACCTTTGCAGTAGACGCGGGGCAAAGCGCTCTTACAGGAAGCTGAAGGAGGGCTGAATCTAAGGATCACTTCTCTATCGATAGGGAAAAGGGTTTTTCTTCTTCTCATCTTGGGGGCGAAGGAAGGAAGGAAGGATGGATGCATATTGGATGCATACGATGTCATCTAAGGTTACCTCCGGCGAACTAGGAGCTGTAAGCTGTGAATTGCCTACAACGTAGGTAGTTGTAGAGGAGAGAAAAAGGACCATAACAAGATGTGATAGGTTGAAACCCACGACGCCGAAATTGGCAGAGAGGATTGCTCATGTAGTCGATGAACCGGAGACGTTAGCCAAATCGAGGTACCTAGAGTTCGTAGCACAACGGCAAAAGTAAAAGTGTTGGGTAGCGTTGTTGGATCATTTTGCATTATCGCCTTCACCATGCACGAATCACACTTTAGATTCATGTAGATATCCTAAAACGGTCTTTTGATGCATATTTGAGGGTGCGCTTCACGATATGAATGGCCCAGCAATGTGTTTCGTGTTTCGCGTCTCGCTTTAAACTTTTGCCCATTTGTTCCTTTGCCTTCTGAAGTTTTGGATCATCCAAATAAAAACAAGTTAAAACAACATCACCACCGAATGCTTGGGTTGGTTCAATGTTGTTAAAGACAAGATCCCAAAGTTTATTAGGTCAAAATATGTTTCCCTTTGGACTCAGATATCTGGGCTCGTGGATGTGATTCGCATCGCCAGTCGGAGAAGCCGTATTAGATGAGGGGCCTGTTTTCTTCTGATCACGCCAACTATAGGATTCTATTGGCACTGATGATTTACACGGGAGTGATGTGAAGAAGATTTTTCTCCAATGCGGCGGCAGGGCTGAGGTGAGGTGGGCTGTGTATGGTTAGTTGTGATAGATTGATGTCAGTGTCATCAATGATATATACAGTGGACCATGAGGCAAACTTCATCAAGATTCCTACCTGGCAGGCAGTAGGTACGAGTAGTATGAAGGAAAATATTATCTAAACTGTCTAAACTTGTCGATTTTGCTAAGAATATACTTTTCCGAGAGAAATGTGTATGGTTGAGTTTTGGATGGATGAATAGATTTAGAAATGTCTATTGAATTGATTTGGATCTTGACGTGGGCTGTTATTGAATAGACAATAATAATGATTAGCTTTTCCATGGCATCCCGAATAAATAATGTGTCGGTCGTAATCTCCGTCCACCACGATTATCATAGGTTGAGATCCACCATGGGATGTTTGGCACGAATGAATAATGAATAATGAAATGAAATCATGACATTGATTTTATTTGTATTGGTGTTGGTGTTGGTGTTGGTGTTGTACTTTTTATCTTATTTTAGATAACCTTGATAGGTGCAGTAGTTGAACAGCATAGAGCATAGCTGAAGTTTATGTTAGTTGGCATTAGCAAATGCAGTGGAAGCAAGAGTAGGTAGTAAGTAGCTTCTAGCTCTCTAAACTTTGAATGTCGAACTTCAAACTTCAGACTTCAGACTTCAGATTCAAGGTTCAAACTTCAAACTTCAAACTTCAAACTTTGATCCTCGACTCGAACTTCTACGTGAGCTCTTCTACTAGCTGGCTAGCTAGCTAGGTATATGTTGTTGTTGCACACCTACACACTTGAACGTTATGGTATGACCTCAGAAATAACGCAAATAGCAGCTACCTCGTAATCTGAGGGAAACAGTGACGCAGTATTCGCAAATAAGATACTCGTAGCTTGTAACCTGTAACCTGTAACTTGCTTGTAACTCGTAACTCGCAACTCGTGCTTGTCCAGGACTCCAGGTCCATTTTCTCAACGAAGCCACCACCCTAGCCGTTTCTCATAGTGTGCTGTGTCGTATATATTCACTCGTATGGATAATACATAATACATAATGCTATGCTATGATTATGATTATGATACCTTACAAGTTACCACGCTCCCACTCTACTTTAGTCTCTCATTCGGGCTTATGCATGCATGCACAATGCTCTACGGTCGTGCGCTCCTTAACCTTCTCGCCGCTTTTGAATGTTGGAAAATAGTATACCGAGTGGCTAGCGAGGCGAGGGAGAGAGAAAAGGAAAATGGGATAAAATAAATAATCATTATAATCACAATCACAATCATAATCATAATCATAATCACAATTATAATAAAATCGAATAATGAAATAAAAAAAGAGTGGCTTGAGATTCATTCGAATGCTCAAGTCAACAACTAATGATTATTGGTCATTGACCTACGACGTATTAGACCTTCCCTCCTCCTCTTCCCTTGAGCCATTCATGACCGCCTCTTCCTCCATGCCCTTTCAATACCCAGGACAAATAAACTGTCCGTACAAGGACCCTAGTATTGCGTGGATGTGTAGACTTATTAGACTATTCTATTCCATGTTCAGTAATATATCTCCTCGACTCTCTCCACTTCCTCTCATACCTGGCATAGTCCAGTACCACCCGAGCCACAAAAGTTCCCGGAGAATCATCACTTTCTTAAAGAGCAATAGCGTCGAACACGAAAATGCTAGGATTCCGAATCCACAATCGTACTAGATTTAGAAATTTCCATGCTACTCCATCAATCTATTCGTCCATCCCATCTCAATCGCTGCCGGTTCCCCCAGACAGGGTCCTGGACGCCGACTCACCACATCCACACCTATCTCACCCACTCATTGCTTTCTTGTTCCTGGCCCACCCGTTTCCCATGCCTTCGCCTGAGACTTGGCCTTTCGGTCGCACTGCCTATCTTACCCTCTATCACTCTCGTTGATCTTTCGAGATCTTTACTTTATTTGCAGGGTCCCCGTCACCACCTTCGTTTGTTCATCTTGTCTAGGTTTCCCTCATCGCTACCATATTCTTCTTATACCGACTAACGGTTTCCTTTTTGTAACTCAATCTTTTGGAACATCTTCGACTTGCGCTTTTTTATATTACAAGCCTCCTCGAACTTCTTCTGTACCTTCCTTTGGCATTCTGCTATTGCTCTTGTTCTGTTATCTCGCACTTCGATAATCTACTACTATATTGCACTGAACCATTGTGTCGACATCAATCAATCCTTCCACTTGACGAGCCTATGTATAATCAGTTACTCCAACATTGCCATTATTAGACAGATCTCCCTGCAGCTGTTGTCCGCCCCTCACTCATTACTTGCGAAGCCTTGTATTACTTGATTTAGCATCGACATCTTGACCAACGTGGTCTGCCAACAAAGTACCTTAATCTACCAAACCATCCTAACTAGAATTCAAATCGGTACGTTGTGCTTGGATACAGGGTCCGAGGAATGCAAACTGACGTCTTGCAGACCAGCCGAGAAACCAAGGGATACTCACCATGGACTCTTACGCACAAGCAATGGGACAATCCCCATTTTTCTACTACAACCCAGACCCAAAATCAGACAACCGTCAACATGGTCACTTCTCTCAACAACCAAGCCATATGCCTATGCCTATGTACCACCAACACGCTCAAACCCTCCCATCGACACCAATGTACTCCAGACCAAACTCTTCGTCTTCGCAGCCTCCAATGCAGCAGAAGATCTTCAACTCTGGATACCTTGGACACATGACACCAATGTCCTCACCACGCCCAATGTATCAAAAGCCCACCATATTGATTCAAGACCATTCCCCAAGACTGATCTTAGATTCGGAAAACGAACACGACATGTACTATTACCCAGCAACCCCACCACTTTCAGCATCTTGCAGTGTCATGAGCAGTCCATCGAGCTGTGACATTCTACCCACCCCAGTTAA